GTCTTTGGAATGTCCGCTGGATGGCGGTGCTTCTATATGGGGAATATATGATGAAAAGATGCGAGATAGTGGTACTTGGAGTGTTGAATAGATGGACGAAGAGACACTCAGACAGATGCATGGATGGACGCATGAACGGACGCAGGAGTGGCTGCATGGACGATTGCAGGGACGGACGCACGAACAGACGCACGCACGGACGGGCTGATGGATGCATGGACGGTCACACTGACGGACGCATGTACGTACGGAAGCAAGAACGAACGGACGGACGAACTCTTCGCCCCACTCTCCATCATTCACTCCGTGGATATGCTGCCATTTTATTTTTTTAAAGTTATACTTTTTTTTTCAAATTGGGTCACGAAGTTCAAAAGGGTTCGTTCTTTTCTTTAAAACGAAACCATAACCAGCAATAAATGAAGCCACAAGTACAATTTGCTGCCCGCAAGTACGAAGACTAGGGAAGTGTTGGTACTACCAATGATTCCCATGGTCGCTGAACGATCGCAATGCCAGAGTACCCCCTAGTTAATTTTAGGAAACTCTATGGGGGAAGGATCCCCCTTGCTATAGCCATCGACCGGAATCCCTTGGCATTCGGGGGCTGTCAGGGCGAGACCCACTACATTACGCTGTTTTTAAATTCTTAGCGAGCTTCGGCGACTTTCAGCGTATCTATCTATCTATCTATCTATCTATCTATCTATCTATCTATCTATCTATCTATCTATCTATCTATCTATCTATCTATCTATCTATCTATCTATCTATCTATCTATCTATCTATCTATCTATCTATCTATCTATCTATCTATCTATCTATCTATCTATCTATCTATCTATCTATCTATCTATCTATCTATCTATCTATCTATCTATCTATCTATCTATCTATCTGCCTGTCTGTCTGTCTGTCTGTCTGTCTGTCTGTCTGTCTGTCTGTCTGTCTGTCTGTCTGTCTGTCTGTCTGTCTGTCTATCTATCTATCTATCTATCTATCTATCTATCTATCTATCTATCTATCTATCTATCTATCTATCTATCTATCTATCTATCTATCTATCTATCTATCTATCTGCCTACGACTTCTAGCTCTCCAGGCCGTTTCGAAAATGGTATCGATACCAAACAGGGTATGTCATAACATGACAGTATGAAGAACGTATTAAGGGCAAAACAAAGGGAAGTTTATGGCACTTCTGACAAGTAATCAAATACATAATTCTTCTCCGATACTTATCACGAACACACGCGGTAAACACACCGATCTATCTGCCTACGACTTCTAGCTCTCCAGGTCGTTTCGAAAATGGTATCGATACCAAACATGGTATGTCATAACATGACAGTATGAAGAGCATATTAAGGGCGAAACAAAGGGAAGTTTATTGCACTTCTGACAAGTAATCAAATACATAATTCTTCTCCGATACTTATCACGGACACACGCGGTAAACACACCGATGAACAGCAAAAACACGTTTAGATTGTACACTACAACAGAAGCGTGATCATTCGAACACTGGTTATACAAAGGTTACAAGAGCGCTGTACGGCCCGTGCGCAAAAGAGCCCATTTCTGTTTCCAGGCGAAAAAAGGGTGCGATAATGGTCGCCGCTGTTCGGGCTCCAGAGAACAAAGGGGTTAATCCGTACAGAGAGAACAGATTCGAGACACATCATTATACAATTGACAGGAGGGGTTGGGCATTGGCACTTTCCGTTTGGCGGTCAGGGAACAGTGGGACGCAGTGGCTGGCGTGCGCTTAAAATGGGGTTATCGGCAGGCGTAACTTGCCTTTTTGCAGGAGAAAAAACCTCGTATGCCTGCAGCGGAGAAACTTTTCCTCGCCGCTGGCTTCAAGTTGGTCTGAGAGGTGCCGCCACACCATGTGGCGGATACGAGCTACGCTCGGGAAGGCCGCTCTGACCGGAGAGCGGCTAACCTCAGCGAAGCAGCGTCGCTTCCAGACCATGAATATGGGGCAGAGGGCCACTAACTTTGCAAAGGCGCCTTTGTTTCTGTTCAGGGCTGGGAGAGGACAGATTTTAAAATCCCTCGCAGTCAGGCGCCGAACCGGTTTGACCGCTGGGCACTCAAAAGGCATGCGCCAGAGTCTCATCCGCGCGATAATTGGGACAGCGGGGTGTAGGCGTGATGCCAAACTTGTGGAGGCGCTGGCGGGTTGGGAGGACGTCCCAGTTTTTCCTCCATGCGAGATGTGAATGCAAGACGAAAGTATGACACTGGTGCGAGCATAATAATCACGACATGTATGTCATGTAACAACATGACTGCATGCCACACTCATGCTCTCGCGACTGTTTCGCTTGCTTCACATATGCCAAATTTGGTATTACGTGACGTCAATAGATGTCGAAGGTATGCGACTGGTGCGAACATGATAATGATGAGATGCGTGTCATGTGAGAACATGACTACATGTCACAGTCAAGGCACTGTTATGACCGGCATCAGTAGGCGCCATGCTGTCGCTGAGAAGCGTGGCCGGGCAGCGTTCCCACGCCTAGAACCCAGTTTTCTCGGAACCAGCGTCCAGAAATGACGGGGGAGCGACGCTCTTTTAATCCTCAAAGAGGTAGCCATGCCCGCCAGGTATTGTCCCTGCTAGCCGGCGGATGAGACGTCATGTCGCCACAAAGCTGTAAGCCGTTCCAGAGGGGACAACAAAGACAGCGTATTCTTTTGAAGAAACGGCGACCGCCGCCACAAAGTGCCCTGCTAATTGAGCGGACAGATTGGCGGACCGTTTGATGTCTGCTGTCCGAAGCTTGGAACCCCTCGACCAGCGACATACACGACGAGCAAGAGCCTCTCTGGCGCCACCTTTAAGTGGAGTGATCTTGACTCAAAATTGGATGTTCACGTGCGCCGTGCATGCTCGTACCCCTCACCTGTTGTGTGTGTGTGTGTGTGTGATTGGTGTTCCACTGAAGAAGGAGGAACCCGACAGGGCTTATAACGGCGCCGCAGAGTGCAGGACGTCGCTCTGGACCAAGTAAAGGTTCAACCACCATGTTCGTAGTTTGTGAAGGCTCTGAACCAACTAAAGGTTTAACCACCACGCTCGTGGTTTGTGAACTCTTAACCTCATGCTGTAAATATTTGTAAATAGTGCCATAAACCTGTTTGTTTTTCGTATCCCCATCTTGTAAGCGGTCGTTTCCTCAACCCGAAGCGACACCACGCTACTACAGCACCCCGGGATCACAACACCAGTCTCTCAGGAGGTGGGATCACGACAGCACCAATACATTTCGACGTGACGCGGTGTGCGTGCATGCTGGCGTTCATTTTGTCACGTCACGCCGGGGTTGCCACGACAGGCGCCGGCCCTGCCATATACTCGCAGGTGCGCGCCACGCTGCGTTGCTTTGACGCCTGCGCGTTTCAGCGCGTCCGGCCTCCCTCCATCACAAAAAGAGGGAGACGCAGTGTTGTCTGGGTAACGCATTGGCGCGAATTTCACGCCGGTTGCCATCGGGCCGTGCCGACGGACGCTGGTCGCGCCTAGGTACAGACTCTAGAGTGCTCGCCTTTTGTTAACGTATCGTCGCTGTGCCCAGCGTGCGCGCGCGTCAACGCAGCATTGACGTATATGGGCCCTTTATGACGCGCTTTCGGCCGTTTTGCCAGCTCCACATTTCCCAAATTTGGTATTACGTGACGTCAATACGTGACAAAATATGTGACTGGTGCAAACATGATAATCTTGACACGCGTGTCATGTAAGAACACGACAACATACCACGCCAATAGCGTGCTCGCGGCCATTTCGCTAGCTCTACATTTACTAAATTTGGTATAACGTCACATGAATAGATGACGAAGGTAAACGACACATCCAAACATGATAATCATGACACGGAAGTCATGTAGGGCATCATTTACCGCTAACTCGTAACGAACAGTGTGGTGATTTCAAAGTGACATATCAAGCTTTCTTATTCGTGCTTTGCATATCATCGATTCCCACTGTACTTGGGATCTGCCAATTTTTTGGTGTCGTGTCAGTGAAGAAGAAAGCCGTCCGGTTGCTAGAGCCCCCCCCCCCCCCCCCCCCCCCCCCCCAAAAAAAAATACATTATCTTCTTTTCTAATAGACAACTCATGTCGAAAAAATGAAACATATCACAATCGAATTACAATACTTCGTCGGCGTAATGTATCGCTAGTCTTTCGCGCCCCTTGAGTCAACGTTACCGTTATCGAAGTTAATAATATAGACACAGGATAGAGATGTCGAGGCCTTTTATGTACTTCTATTACATGCCTGTGTAGTTCGGGCAACAAAGGCACTTTCGAACTTTCTTTAGGATCACAACTGTCTAGAATAGCAGCGTTAGTTTATACACAGACAAATGAACATCACACGTGAACGCGCGCTGGGGTTAAACGCGCAGACTTTTGTGTTCAGAAGCGTCGGCACGATTTTAAATCTTGAATGTAAATGCAGCTGGGGGCAAGGACGGTGTTCCACCCGACCCCACCTTATGTGCGTCCGCGCCTGTGTTTGTCTGTACGCGAGTATATGAACGCAAACAACCTGAAAATATGAGAAGGCGGTGGCTTGAAAGTTCGGTCCATACTCTCCCCCTGGGTTACGCCCGTGCTGGTTTCACTGGCGTAGAAAAGGAGGGGGGAAGACTGGGAGATTTAAGCACCCTTCCTCCGGAAATTTTACCATTTGTTCAGGAGCTGGTATTATGCATGTAGCAATACAAACGCACGAAGAAACGCAATGTACAAATGACCATCTCAGCCCCCCTCCCTCTTTTTCATCCTGAATTTAGTTAACGTTGATGGGTATTGCGGATTTAGTTTTTAGTGCTGCCCTGTGTGTATTCAGTCTTCATCCATCTAAAAGAACATATAGTATGTATGGTCGTATCCGCCAGGCATACTTACCTCTCCAGCAAGATGTATATATCTCTCTCGTCTGTATTCAACTGTTCAAATTTTGCGATTCTTGCAGCCGGGTGCACCAGGTCCTCTGTTGGGCTCCTTGAGCGAGTCCGACTGCGCCGAGGATGCACTGAGCGTGCTCGAGTCCGGCCGGCCTCTGCTCGTCGCGTGCGGGGAGTCGCGGCTCAATCTTCGAACCCTGCGCTCCACGGGACGCCGACTGGTGGTCCGCTTACGCACCAGGAATTTCGTGCCGGCCCGGGGATTTCTGCTCAAGTACAAGTGTGAGTGAGCAAGCCACGCTCCACATAACACCATCAGTATTCCATACCTGTCCCTCTATCTTATATATCTTTCTCTATTTTCACTAACGTTGGTTTTGTTCTCTCGTCCATCTCGTCTGCGTTAAGTCGTGCATCCCGCTTTATATTATAGCAATGCTACACAAGTGCAAACCACCCCGTCATGGTGGTCTAGTGGCTAAAGTACTCGGCTGCTGACCCGCAGGTCGCGGGATATAATTCCGGCTGCTGCGGCTGCTTTTTCGATGGAGGCGAAAATGCTGTGAGCCCGAGTCCTCAGATTTGGGTGCGCGCTAAAAAAATACCAGGTGGTAGAAATTTGCAGACCCCTTCACTATGGTGTCTCTCATATGGTGGTTTTGGGACATTAAACCCGACATATCAATCAATGAACATGAGCGCAAACCCAGACCAAGCGCGCAGATAGATAGATAGATAGATAGATAGATAGATAGATAGATAGATAGATAGATAGATAGATAGATAGATAGATAGATAGATGGCTAGATAGACAGATAGATAGATAGATAGAGAGATAGATAGATAGATAGATAGATAGATAGATAGATAGATAGATAGATAGATAGATAGATAGATAGATAGATAGATAGATAGATTAACGTGCTTACAATGACATTCCTCCTTTAATGATTCACACGCAGTCATTGGTTGCCCAACGCCGGCGGCTCCCCGACTGGGGTACCTGGTGCACCGTGCTGAGGAGACGGCGCTCTACAAGTGCTGCAAGGACCACATGTTCAACGACACGCAGGCGGACACCAGGACTCTGTTGTGCCTCCGCGGGAACACGTGGAACGACAGCGTTCCAGAGACCTGCACGCGTAAGCTCCAGCGACCTCGCTGCTTGTTGAAGATTGATGTTTCCTCGAGCTTCTTCCATTCACTTCACAAACCTTGCTACCAAACAAACAAACAAACAAACAAACAAAAAACAAACAAATCAACTAACTAACTAACTAACAAATACGCTCTAGTGGTTTGGAGAGTGTGGGAGCAGTATATGACTGGTGGCGTCACACTGCCGCTGGCGTAAATCATAAACCAGGGGAAAACGGGCATGTAGCAGCTAAAGGTATGTCGAGAATCAGTTAACGGAAGTTTTCATGACTTCCAAAATTTATTTTTCAGAACTTCATCAACAAGATTGTAACCGTATTCACAGATTTAGATGAAGTGGGTACAGGTTATGTGGTAATAATACAATTGCTGTTCGTACACCCAAATAACGCTTTGAGGATTGTACCATTGCTGGGGTCATTTTATTGAACGGTGGTTGTCACTTCGTTCTGCAGCACGCCTACCCGTGACGTGGAACGAGACCGTTGTGGAAGAGGAAGAGTTGGAACCGCTTCTTCAGGGTCGCAAGGAGCGTGACGATGATGACGGAGCTGGTTTTCTCTCCGCACAGTTTCTCGCAGGTGAGACCACCGGCGCTTCTCTTGCCCTTCAGCTTCTCCGCTACAGAAGTAGATCGATGTAGTCACGTTCTCGGTGCGTGACACACACCTATGTGGTGAAGGGTGCGGCTTGTCTTACACTTCATTTCCGAAGAAACGAACCAAGAAACGCATGGTAAGTTTACTAATACAAATACGACTGGGGTTAGAGTATTGTGTTCGGGCATTCCAGGGTGGCAGGGCGTCAGAAGGAGCGAATGAATTAGTAAGAAGTCGGCTGGGATATGTTGAAAAGAGATAGTACAAGAGAGATGATTTCGAGCTTGGAGTGACTGATCGTAGTATTAGCTGAGCCAACATAGTCAATGATGGAATTTGCGTGATAAAGCATGGAAACCAGAAAGAAAAAAACAAGAGCGCTCGTTTTCGTTCCTGCTTGTCTTCGTGTCCGGACATTCGCGATAGTTCCACTAGTAGGGAATACAAGTCGATTACAAACTAAGAATAAATATAATCTCGGCCTACAGGCGTCGTCGTTCCGTGGTATGGGTGCTGCAGTTAATTACGTTCGCTTATTCTTGAAGTTAATCACGTCTGTGTGTGGAAGGGGTGTTTCCACTTTTTCATATATACCGACAGGTTCGGACCGCTTGTTTGTTTGAGAGAAATTTAGAGAAGTTAATGACAAGCAGACTGAGGTCTTACAGGTGGAGCATATATATATATATATATATATATATATATATATATATATATATATATATTCTGTGTGCATGCTTTCTTATCCGTTGGTTGTATATAAAACGTTCGTGACATCACTGTGCATTTACGTAAATAGCCCATGCCATATCATCTGATGTACATACGTATGGCGTATGAAGCGATGAAGCGATGGTTGGGAGAGGCTGAGAAGGAAGAAATGCAGAATGGAATAAACAGAGCCAGGCCACGTCTGCCGTTCATCATAGCGTCACACGAGTCGACAGGATGGAGACCTGCCTGCCCCTTCACCAGTCCCTCATCATCGACGCAGTTCCCCAGAAGACACCCTGACCATACATTGACTACTGAAACATCGCCTAGAAGGACAACGACCAGCACCATGACAGAACCATCGACTGACCCCGACATCCCCAAGTACACCGGATCAGCGGACGACGGACCCGTACAGGACTGCTTCAACCTATTCGAGCTGTACGCCGCCGCTGCATCCTGGTCGGAACTCGAGATGATCATCAACTTCACTGACTACATCTCCGGTGAGGCATTTAAGTTTTACCTCACCCACATCGTTGAAAATGACGAGTCATGGCAAAACATCAAAGAAGAGATGTTCACTCGTTTTAAAGACTATGAACAAGACCTACTTATTGCCGACCGTCTGGAGAAACCCGCACACTATCGTCAATTCCCTAAGCAGTCCTCAAGCATTCGAAAGCCCAACGCGAATTGACAACTGTCACAGGACGAAGTTGCACAGGAGTTTACTTTCAGAAGACCATGCGTGTTTTGGGAAAAACCTAACCATCAAGCGCGCCTCCCTTCTACACGAAAGTCAGCATTTCGAAAGTCCTCGCTCCAGCATATGACGCGAGGCGTTGCTCACCAACCTGATGCTCTTGATTCTTCTCCTCGCATACGCAGTCCACCACGCGGTTTTCCATCACCCGGCTCTTCAAGCGCTCCTATCGTTTACCATTTGCCTCATAAGGACGCCGCGACCGCGGTAGACGACCTGACGCTTCACGAAAATACCCTGTCAAGCCATGCACCTTCCGGACGGCTTCATTCATCACCGTGCGGTGAACACACATTAGACAATCGAAACAAAGTAAAAGGTTCAGACGAATCGAACATCGCACGCTGCCAAGCGCAAGAGTCCTTCTTAGTGAACAGTGCAAAAGAAGCCTCCAAAGACCTTTTTGTCCATTCTAGTGCACCACCTTCATTTTCTTTTGAGAATCACGACAACCCAACCACTACCGCCTATTTATTGGTCACACCAACTATCAAAGAAAAGCAGGCTCGTGTTACTAAAAAAGTACCACCTCGTTGGGTTCCGCAACATCAGCGGTGCCATCGAGAACTCAAAGAACTCCAGAAACCACGGCAGTTACATCAAGCACTACGACGAACTACAATAAGATCACAAGCAGATTTGTGGCTTAAGGATGGCCGTCAGGAACGACAACAACTAAAGGAAAAACCAAGTCAACATCTGAGCCATATTCATAGAAGCAAACGTCAAGGAAGTCTTCTGTACCAGATATCAAGGCATCATGTACAATCCTACCGACGGAGATACCACCACAGAAAACCACAAAACAGACTGAACGCTACCATTAGCAAAATGCAAGAGCACAGACATCATATCATCAACTTCGGTTCTCGCAGACGCAAGCTGGAAGCAATGCTTCTGTCTCAGCCACGACGCAGAATACAGCGCCCACGACAGAAAATTCGGCGCCTACGACGTCCGACCTTCAAAAGCTACAAGGACGTCCAACCTCGTTCATTCTTTGCAACTGCTGAAGCCGTGTCATGGTCAGTGCAGTTGTGCAGGACGCGGTTATCTTTTCCTGAACGCCACAGTCAGCCTCGCCCACCAGAACTCCTGCGTTACCCGGACTGCTGCACGCTCTCCTGAAGTTTTTGAAAGTTTACGGAACTCATCTCGAGCATAGAACCAATTGTGAATTTTGACATTTGTGACTTTTCAAGTTCTCCCTGTTTACTTTTTCTTGTTCGTAATTCATGCCTTCTTTCGGGGAGAGGGGGAATTGTGTGACGTATGAAGCGATGAAGCGATGGTTGGCAGAGGCCGAGAAGGAAGAAGTGCAGAATGGAATAAACATAGCGTATGAGCCAGGCCACGTCTGCCGTTCATCATAGCGTCATATATATATATTGTAGTGAAGAGGAATGCCCACTACTGCAGCGACATCGACACGTGGGCGCGAGGCACGAGCTAGGACTGCCTGGTTGCTGCTGCGACGCTGCCCGTATACTCGGCCTGCTCTTGCTGCTTCGGTACCGACGCCGCTACCGCTGTTCACCTTGCATTTACATTATATTTTGGTGGAGAGTGCTGCGGTCTTCCCCAGTCCTGGAACTGCGTAGCCGAAAGCTGCCGTCCGTCATGCCTGACGACGCTGTCTTCACACCCCCACCGGCTTCGCCACGCAGGAGCTGTCCCGGTGCCCAGCTCTTGCGAGAACCCGACATCTTCAGCGGCACCGACGAGAAAGACGTTGAGGATTGGCTGGAATCGTATGAACGAGCCAGCGCTACTAACAAATGGGACGATCCCACAAAGCTTGGCACCGTGATGTTTTATTTAACGGATGTTGCCAAGCTGTGGTACAGAAACCATGAGGCGGATATCCCCACTTGGACAACCTTCAAAACCTGCATCGCAGATGTTTTTGGACGCCCTGGTGTGCGCAAACTTCGCGCAGAACAACGCCTACGAGGCCGGTCCCAACAAACTGGTGAGACATTCACCAGCTACATAGAGGACATCTTTGACCTCTGCCGGCGTGTCGACTGGTCGATGGCAGAAACTGACAAGGTGCGACATATCATGAAAGGCATTTCCGACGACGCCTTTCAAATGCTGCTCTCCAAGAACCCTGTCACTGTCTCTGAGGTCATTGAGTTGTGTCAGAGTTTCGACGAGCTGCGACGACAGCGTCTTCTCACTCGACGCCCTGACGTCCCGGATGACACCCTCTCCAGCCTGACCACCACATCTGACCTTCAGTCGCTCCTATCGCAGATTAAGGAGTTTGTTCGTGCTGAGGTCGCTCGTCAGCTATCGCTGCTATCAACAACCGGCCAACCAGCGTCACCCTTGCCGAGCCCTGTTGCCTGTGCCGAGGTAAATGCACCTCTAAGCTATGCTGAAGTAGCGGCTCGACCACCTCTTCAGACTTTTACGTCGCTTCCCTCAGCCGTGCCGCTCCGACCCACTCCTCGGTTCGCTCAGCCAAGGTCCGTCCAGAGTAGTGGACAATGGCGTACACTCGACAATCGCCCAATATGCTTTGCCTGTGGGCTTCCTGGCCACATAGCGCGATACTGCCGTCGGCGCGTTCCTGTGTACCGACAGAGCTACGACCAGAACTTCGAACCTGCCCTTTATGTGCCACCGCGCCGTTCGTTCACAGGCTCTCAGCCACCCGACCAGATGTCATCGTACGCCGATTACCGCCCTCCTGTTAACCGCCGCTCGCCATCACCTCGACGCCGCTCGCCATCGCCGATGCGTCGTCGTCCTTCATCGCCGGAGCGGGAAAACTAATTGCCGCAGTTCCAGAGGCAGGAACTGCGTCGCCAGCGAAAAGACCAAGGCCTCTCACTTCACCAACGAATGTTCTGGACGTACATGTGGACGGCGTCCGTGCACTCGCTCTTGTCGATACTGGTGCCGCAGTTTCAGTGATAAGTGCTAGACTCTGCCGCTTGCTGAAAAAAGTTATGACGCCACTAGCTAGTATATCACTTCGTACAGCCAGCGCAGATCACGTCATACCGGCCGCTGCTTATACTGCTCGCATCGCGATTGATGGCCTCATTTATGTCGTTGAATTGCTAGTGTTGGATTCCTGCTCCCATGACCTCATTTTGGGCTGGGATTTTCTTTCCGCTAATAAGGCCATCATCGATTGCTCGCGCGCTGAGGTGGCATTTGAAGTGTTTGACGACGCTCCATTATATGATGCTCATGAAACCGGGGACAAACTATTTGTTGCTGAAGACGTCATCATACCGCCGCACTCTTTTGCCCTTACCATGGTGTCTTGCAACTCTCTCGCCGAGTCTAGTGCCCTTTTCACGCCATCAGCTCTTTTCGTTCGTCGAAAGTGTTCGCCGCTACCTTATGCCCTTCTAGAACTTCATGACGGCGTCAGCAGACTACTCATCTCGAACCTGTTATCATGTCCTGTAACACTACTTCGGGGTGAGTGCGTCGGGCGTGTTTACAGTCTCGACCTTTCTGCAATTATCGACATGCCGGC